GCATACATGTGAAGAGTAAAATTTAATGGGCATTGCGAAGCAGGCACATCACATTCTCATATTTTGCCATTTAAATAGTCACAAAGCATGGGCACTGATGACAGGTACACTGTTTCTAGTTGCAGGAACATTTAGGGGCCAAAGGTCAAACTAGCCCTGCTTTTAGCAGGCCAGCAGTTGCTTTTCGAGGCAAGGTATAGTCCTTGCTTTTGTTTAAATTCATTTTCTTTGAGATAAGACTCCATATCTTATTTTAGAATATTTATTTTAAATCAATGACAAAAATCAAATGTCCAACTTAATACTCAATCTTTTTTGGAAAGAAAAGTCATGTCCACTTATAGATGATATAGTACACCCTATAGTGTATAGTTTCCAAGCACAGAGTGTAAAATTATTCATCAATCACATGTAAAAGAACAATGGTATATGTGTGTCAGCCCAAAGGAACAAGCTTTTGGTGTTGACAAAGGTTGCCGACCGCCCCACACCTTGTGTACAGGACACCTCAGGATTTACTGTGAATGAGCAAGGAAACTCTGCTAAGGAGCATGGAGGAGATCACACTTCCATTCCGTGTGCCTTTTGAGGAAATCCCAACAGAGATTAGTAGGCAAGATTTCCCAAGGGAGACCCCATCCTGCTAGAGAGGGAGCTGAAATCAGCAACAAAGCACAAGGTCAGGGGTGAGGGGATAGAGCTGTAAAGGTTAATTCCTTGATAGTGAAGACATTAGCAAGAGAGAAAATGCACCAAGAGCAAGCAGAGGCAACAACATCTGGAGAACTCAAGTAAGAGAAGAAATATGTGAGCTCAAGCGAGGAGGCGGGACTGGAGATGCTGACACCAAACCACAGAGCTGATGGAATCCCCCAGCCAGCGTGAATGGAGGCACGAGGCAGCTGGAAATGAGGGTGAGCTATTCCCAGCATGTCGGTGTGTCTGAGCACCTTTGATGTAAAATATTGTGACACAGGTCTCCTTGGCGTCTATTAATAAAGAGGAAACAAAGAGCACAGACTAAGCACCCCTCCTGAGGGAGCATCGCATCACTGGAGGCAATTCTGAGTTCTGCAAGACCCGTGTTCCTGAAACCACCCTCAGACCTGGCTCTGTGTGCTGGTGCCAGTTAGTCAGTAAGTCAGTGTGACTGGGCAGAAAAGAGAGGTTAAACGGAGAAAGTGCAGGATTTGAGGGGCTGTGCCCCCAATGTGGCCAAGGAGCAAAGACGAGGGGCTGGCCAAGTGGAAAAGACGGGAGGCTAGAGTCTGAGGGAAGCACCTGGGAAGTGGAAGACCTCAAGGGCGTAACGGTTTCATCTGAATGCGAAGTCCAAGGTGTGGTCCCCACAGAGGAGAGAAGCGGAGGGCAGGTGACGTGAGTTTGGTTGGAAGAGACCAAGGGATTGAACATGAGCATGTGAGTTGCTTGTCCACACGTATCTAATTCAGAGTTAGAATGAAAGCTGAAGCTGGGATTATGGGTAAGCAAGGTCCTTCAGCATTGGGGAGCTCCCTAAGAAATGGTACATGGCGGTGAGAAAAAGAAAGACTGCTAGATGGTGTGGGACTGACCACGGGGCATGGAATGATGGTCTAGAACTGCATTGTCCATTCTGGTGGCCCCCAGCTTCCCGTGGGTACTGAGCACTTGGACTTCAGAGGAAGGTGCGCTGAGCTGTGTCAATAACGATGACATGCCAGGTGCTGAAGACTTTGTACAATAAAAAGGCCGTGAAATAAGCATCCAAGTAACGATTTTATATTGATTTCATGTTGAAATGAAGATATTTTGGACAGATTAGGTAAAATACGTATATTATTAAAATGAACTTCACCTGCTTCTTTTACTTTTTTGGAAGATGGTTACAAGAAAATCTAAAATTTCCTTTGTGGTCACTCATGTGGCTCACGTTATACTTCCATGGTCAGAGCTAGTCTAGAAGCTTACAGGATGCCAGATAATCACTCCATCCTTTCTTCCTCCTGGGTGCTGAGCCATAAAAGCTGGACCTAGTTCTGTTCATAGATTTGATTTGGAGCCTTGTGATACAGGAAGAAAACATGAAGTTATTAAAAGTAGATGAGTGTTGGCGAGGAACTCATATTGGGACCAGGCTGCAGCCCCCCACCCGCTTCCTAGAGTCTGGGTCGGGATTACTGTGAAGCTACAATGAACACTACTCATCCCTTTCCTGCTTCCTCGTCCCCACACAGGTTCCTACTTGGATGCTTTCATATCTGGGAGGAGGGTGTCAAGCTGGGTCACACATCATGTGACAGATAATTTTATATATTAATATGATATTCTAAACTAAAAAAAATTAAAGTTATAAATAATATTTATGACTACATATACAGTTCCAATTCAACTGGTGTAATAGAATTCATGTCTGATTTGGGATGTCAGAAGACTTTAAGCTGCAACCTCTAATACAAACCAGTCTTTTTTAAAACATTTATTTCAGAGAGGAAGAGAGAGGGAGATAGAGATAGAAACATCAATGATGAGAGAGAATCATTGATCTGCTGCCTCCTGCATGCCTCCCACTGGGGATGGAGCCTGAAATGCTGACAGGGAGTTGAACCTTGACCTCCTGGTTCATAGGTGAAAGGTCAACCACTGAGCCACACTGGCTGGGCCAAACCACTCTTTTAAAACAACTCCCCCAATTATGAGTCATGCCTCACATTCACAGAGGATAGAACATCCCCCCTCTCAACCACACCAATGTGATTTTTCTTCACACATCCGCTTCCATACTAAAAACAAAAGCATGGCTCTACAAAGAATAACTTCATAGAATATGTCCTCTGACGCAGACACCTTTTTCTGTGTGGCGACATATCTTTAGAGGTAAGTACTGATAACAGAAGGCACACGAAAACCTACGGTGACAGGTACCATCAGTTTAAGAGCCGGCCAAGGAGGACAAGGAAGCAAGAAGAAAACAATGGTCGTGAAACAATAGGAAGCGAACTGAGGAGAAGCCTGGCCAATCCTCCATGATTGACTTCTCGCCGCTCGAGGTGGGTCAGATACTTGGCAGGGAGCTTTATAGCCCCAGAGAAAAGAGGGAACACGGTCCAATGAAATATTCATAGTGACCGTAAGATCAGAATAAACCAGTCACCTTGGCAAACTATGTGTTTTCCTAGCAGCAAGCCTGGAGAATGATCCCTGCTGTGGTTCTTTCAAAGGAACGGACTACGTGATACTGTTTATTGATTCCGAGAGGAATTTCGTTTTTAAAAATCTGTAATGGAACATCTACATCCCTGAGCACACGCGCGCGCACACACACCGTCCCCTCAATCACTCTTTTTGTTGCCCTTACACAAATATTCTCCGATTGTTCGATTTCCCTGACCCATGTTAAAGTGGCCTCGGCCTTATCATGCTTTGCCCATTAAAAATTAACTCTCCAGACTAACTTTTCAGCACCCTGGTCTCTCTGAGTAACTAATCTGATAAACTGAGCATTTCCCGGAAGCAGTACGTGATAACGGGTTAATGAGTGACCTTTCCGGAGAACTGGATTAACTTAACGGCTTCTGGTTATATGTCAAGCTTTGCTTTTATGGAGCAAAAACTGCTTTTCTCTATTTTGCAAAGTGGGCCCCTGATGTCTCAGATGCACAGAAGGAGCTGCCCGCGTGAAGGGTTGGGGGTCTGGAGTCCAGCCAGCCTTCGCTCTGCCTTTGACCTTCGCCCTCTGCGAGGACCCTCAGCCACACCCCAGCATTTATAGAGTGTTGGTTCAACACCACCCCCTTAAGCAAAAGGGATGACAAACTCCTACAGAGGCAGTGGGGATGCATGAAGACTTAACCCCTCAGAGATCCCCACCTCGAGCGGTGCCCCTCTGCCTCTGACCAGAAGCGCCGCTAACCTCCATGTTGATAAGGTGTCCCAGAAGCAGAAAGTGAACGGGGGCTCTGGGAGCTGTGGTGTTGGGTAGGGTGTACGAGGACTACGGAGGGGAACGGGGTGCCTGCAGTGCAACAGGGGCAGGGAAGTCAACTTGAAGGACACGGGTGATTCTCTACGGGCCGAGTTTAAGAAACAGACAACGGGGCATGAAACACCTGGGGAACCAGGTTAAGATGTAGAGTTAGACTGAGTGGGTCTGGGTCGGGGCACGGGATCCCAAATCTCTTAACTAGCTCCTCCATCGTGATCAGGCTGTTGGTTGGAGGACTCCCCTTTGGATAGCAAAGCTCTAAGGCACCTCCTAGTAAATGTGACCTGGGGGAAAGAAATTCACTGAAACATACCCTTACCCGACGATCCAGAGATACCATTCCTTAGTATTTACCCAAAGGAATTACAAAATGCTGTCCACGCAAAAACCAGCACACTCAGTTTATAGCTGTTTTATTCATAATTGCCAACATTTGGAGGTAACTAATGGATAAGTAAACTGTGGTCCACCCACCCAGATAATGGGATATTATTCAGCACTAAAAAGTAATGAGCTAAAAGCCAGGAAGACATGGAGAAAATTTAATACAGGTTAGTAAGTGAAAGAAGTCAATCTGAAAAGGCTGCATACTATATGATTCCTACTAGATGGCAATTCTGAAGAAGAAAAAAAAAGCAAAACTATGGAAACAGAAAAATGTCATTGGTTTCGGGGGCGGGGTGGGGCGAGGTGGAGGATGAGCAGGAAGAGCAGAGGATTTTTAGGGCAGTGAGGCTAATCTGTACGGTGCTGTAATGGATGGGTCCACGTCATTACACATTTGTCCAAATCCATGGAAGGTACACCACCAAGAGGGAGCCCTAAGGTAAACGATGGACACTGAGTGATTATGATGTGTCACTGCAGGTCCATCCTTAGTGAAAAATGTACCACTCTGACCAGTGATGCTGATAATGCGGGAGGCAATGCATATGTGGAGACAGGGGTTGATGGGAAATCTCTGAACCGTCCTTTGTTTTTGTTGTAAGGCTCAAATTGCTCCCCACCTCAATAGTCTTTTTTTTTCCCCTTAAAGCAGAAATTCATTGAAGACTACTTCAACTCCACACAGGGAGGACCAAAGATGCTCAGAATTTCCTGGAATGAAGGTTTAGGTTATGAAGCCTGATCAGCTGGGATGCTGAGGGCAAAGCAAACAGGAGACACGGAGAGAAGGAGGAAGTTCACAAAGAAGGAGCATGACTCACAATTTGTTTCAGAAATGATGACCCATTGATTTTTTTTTCTGGTTCTGTTATAGGCTAATTTATTATTTTTTTCTGTATGGCGTGCCTGTCTTATATCAGGTGGGTCATTGGTAGGTAAGTTACAATTTAGTCCTTAGTCATAAGGTATCAAGTAGTGGTCATGGCTGAAGCATAAGATAAACAGTTAGAAATCAAAAACTATGAAACACACTCTTAAATTTGCAAACTGGAATGATATATTTAATTAGACATCATCTGTAACAGAATTATACACTGGGCAGTAATCATTATGAATTGTGAGGAGCAAGGAAGTCAGTATAATCTAATTCACTTCCATAATTAAAGGAAGTACCCAGAGGGCTTGAACAACGGTGATAAATTCAATACTTCTCGATACAGCCATTCACAAAGCTTTTATTTCTGTACCATATACTAGTCTCTGTTAAATGGGAAAAGGGTAATAAAACAGTTTACTCCAGAACTTTCCCAAGGGTCAGCTTAGCTTTATTAAATATTGGGTGAAATACAGGTGAATTTGTATATAATGTGTATGTGGCCTATTCTGGAATATCTCAACATAATTTTGGATAGTTCATCCTTAGGTTATTAACTTAGCTTTTTTTGTTGTTGTTATTGTTGAGAATTTTACCTCAACTCCCCAGAAACAAAACAGCTTCCTGAAACAAAATAGAAAAATGCCTGGGCCCATAGAAGGAATTTAGGGGCTAAAAGGGCCATTAAAGTTCCCTTGTGTTAATTTTGAGAATACCTTTCTCATGATCTAATTACTGAATGGTGTTAAAAAGTCTGAGATTGTCATTGTTTATATGTTCTCCTGTCTTTTAATTATATAAAATATCATACATATACAAAATAAATAGAATATAAAGAATCTCCACCTATCATTACTCAGTTTCAATAATTGTAAAAATCTGCCATTCTTATAAAGGTTTTATAAAATGCATTTTTTATAATTTCCAAATATTTGGGACTTTTCTACTTTTTAAAAAAGATATCAATTGTTAATGTTTCTAATCTAATTTCATTATGATGAAAAAACACACTCTATAAGATTTCAATATTTGAAAATGTATGTTTTGAGACACAAAATAAATTAGGGTTCCAGGCTATGGTCTATCTTAGTGAATGTTCCATGCTTGTTTTAAAAAAAAGTTCATATAGATATAGATATAGATATAGAAATAGATATCAACATGGTTAATAGGGTCAATTACCCAGCATGTTTGGTGGTGTCATTCACATCTTGTATGTCCTTATTCATTATTTTTATCTAATTGTTATACTGAAAAGCGGGTGTTGGAGCCTTCCACAGTAACTGTGGATGTGTCTGTTTTTATTTTGGCCAGTCATTTTTTCTGTCATGTATTTTGAAGCTGTTTTTATAATCATACATATTTATAACTTTTCTGTTTTCCTGATGCACTGATACTTTTACCATTTTCAATGTCCTCTTTGCCTTTGGTAAACTTGCTGTCTAGGAGTGGCTTTTCCCCAACATATAACACAGCCATTCCAGCTTTCCTATTAATAGAGTCTGCGTGGTATACCTTTTCCCAAACTCTAACTTTCAACTGTTTGTGTCTTTGTAATTAAAGTATCTCTCTTATAGAAAACACATAGTTGAGTCTTACTTTTTTTTAGAGGTAAAGAAGAACATTTTATAATGATAAGAAATTCATCTATTATGAAAGAAATAATAAATATTAAGTGAAAATAAAAGAAATGGGAAATATAAAAAACAATTAAGAAAATCAACAAAAGAATCATAGCCTTTGAGAATATCACAAAATTGACAAACTTTTAGCTAGACTCAGGAAGAAAAAAATCAAAGCAGTTAAAACCTGGAAGTAAAGAGGGAACTTCCATCACTACTCACCTTACAAAATAGAAGCAATAATAAAGGGAACGTTATCTGTCTTGTAAACCCTACCTCTGGCCTTCCTCAGGGGCATTCCCACTGATGGCTTATTTTTCTTTTTCTGTGTATGGGCCATACTCTACTGTTTCTCCACATGTCTCATAATTTTTGTTGAAAACTAAACTATATTGGGGGTGCGGGGGGCAGTGGTCTTACTTTTTTAATCAACCTGAAAATCTTTGCCTTTTAATTGGCGTGTTTAGTCATTTATATTTAATGTAATTATTAACATGGTTTGATTTAGCTCTGCCATGTTGCTATTCATTTTCTTTTGGTTTTATCTGTTATTTTGCTCCTTTGTTCCTCATTTCCTGGTTTCTTTTGTGAAAATCCAATTCCTTTTTAGTATTTAATTTCAATCCCTCAGTTAGCATTTAAGTGCGTTGCATTATTTTTAAAGTGGCTGTGATAGAGACTATAATATGCATCTTTAAGTGAACATAATCTACTTAGTGTTAATATTGTACTACTTCACATAAAATAAAGAAACCTTGCTATAGTTCTTTGTGCTATTCTTGTTATATATGTTACAACTGTTCACATTATAAATCCCTCAATATGTTATAATTATTGCTGTGTGTGTTAAAGAAATTAGTAAATAATGTATATGCATTTATGTATGTTTAAATATTTGACTACATATTTACAATTCTGGTAATCTTTATCCTCCCCTTTAGATCCAAATTCCTACCTATTGTGTAATTTCCTTTCAGTCTGACAGGCTTCTGTTATCATTTCTTGTCATGTAGGTCTGTCTCAGTTTGTGGTTCAAGTGTAGACATTCCTCCAGTTTTTGTCTGATTTTGGCAATTCTCTGAGTGACTTCAAATAGTTGGGGTTTTTGAGGGAGTTAGGGGATGGGACCAATTTTATAGCTGTTATCTGCAGCAGGCTTAGTCTAACCAAGCCACCCACCATTAGCAGAAACTGAAATCTCACTGTTTATATTTTAACACACTAAACTACAGCCCTATTTAGTCATTAAAGAAACACTTCTGAGGACATTAAAATGTGCTAGACATTAACAAAGGCAATGCTTATTCAAGGAATTCCAAGTGGTTGAATATCGTTAGAAGCTAGAGCATGCTGGGGAGAGTGGAGAGCATCCATGAAGGAAACAGCCATGCAGACATGCATATATTTTATCTTGTGTGTGATAAGGAGCTGTTGACAGGGTTTAAGCAAGAGAGAAACATAAGCAGACATGGGGTTTTGCCAGACCAATGGTATGGATGAAGAAGTTTATAGAGTAATGCCTATGGCTAAAAAAAAATGATCTGGAATATTCCTAGACTTCCTGTGGGTCTGGAGAGGAGGAGAGAAACTCAAAGAGGCAGGAGGTAGAATGTGGATGTGGAATTACAATTGGTGAGTAGTAGACTTCCCATAATCCTTGTAGCAATCACAGAAAAGTGTCAAAAAAGTGAATCATGTAAATGTATCACATAAGAAAATTGATATGTGATATATGCACAGAGAGAAAGAGAAGAATCATTGATATAAACAACAAAAATAAGTTCAAAATCGGAGAAATTCTAGAATGTATTAGGAAAAAATGAATACGTGGAATAAATACAAGAAAAGTTTACATATGAAAATAAAGGTAAAATGTCTATACCTGTATACAAGAAATCCAAAAAAACATAAGGGGAAAGACAGTTTCAACCAATTATTTGAACGTATGACCCATAATTTCACAGAAATTACACACACAAACACATACATACAGATAAACATACATGAACTCAGATCAAAAACACCAAAATTGTGCCAGAGATAACAAATAAATCAGTATGGACATATTGTGGCAAAATTTAATAAAATCAAAGACAAGGGAACATTCTAAAATTCTCCAACAAGAAATGGCAGGATGTCTACAGAGGAAAATCATCATAACATTTTGAAAGAGGCAGCAGAGTGCGCGTTACCTACGGAGCACTGGATCCATATGGCTCTCAATCCAGGGTCTCCCAAACTCGAGCTCTAGAACAGCGGTTCTCAACCTGTGGGTCACGAACAATGAAAATACATCCTGCATATCAGATATTTACATTACGATTCATAACAGTAGCAAAATTACAGTTATGAAGCAGCAAAGAAAATAATTTTATTGTTGGGGGTCACCACAACATGAGGAACTGTATTAAAGGGTCGCGGCATTAGGAAGGTTGAGAACCACTGCTCTAGAACATTGAACATTAAACAACATCATCACCTTCTCCATCGCTCAGCTTCATTTACATCCCATAGATCATACTAATATTTTTGCCATAAGAGTGTTGGGAGTACTAAGTGCAATAAAATATGTAAAACCCATCAAAATACAGCCAGATACATAATAGGCACACTATGACTATAAACTATATTTGTTTTCAGATTTCTTGGTAGCAATATTTGGTGGAGAAATACAATAGAATAAAAATTTCAAAGTGCTTGCTTAAGGAAAGATAGTTGATATGAGAATTTCATATCCATTTGAATAACCATTTAAGTACAAGGTAGCCTGGCCAGTGTGGCTCAGTGATTGAGCATTGACCTATGAACCAGGAGGTCACAGTTCAATTCTTGGTCGGGGCACATGCCAGGGGTTGTGAGCTTGATCACCAGTGTGGGGTGTGCAGGAGGCAGCTGATCAATGATTCTCTCTCATCATTGATGTTTCTTTCTCTTCCTCCCTCTCGCTTTCTCTCTGAAGTCAATAAATACAAAATTGAAAAAAAATAAAACAGAAAAAAACATAATAAATGTAAGGAAGAAATAAAGATTAATAAAGATATTAGTATTAATTTGTAATTACTTGTCATGCTCTATGCAAAGTGTATTGAGAGATGGTTAAATGACAAGTATTCTTTTAAGTTCTTTATGTGTATTAGCTCATTTAGTATTCACATGAGCCCCATGTGGGGAAGAGAGGTCCACCAAAGGTCATCAGGGTGGAGCTGATAGGCAACAAGAGTGACCTCCGTGGTAAGCCTTCTTTGTGAGGCCTGTGAATGTGAGACAGGCCTTAAATCCAAACCATCTGTCCTGGCTCCCTCCCTGAGTCCCTGGGAGGGAGTCCAGGGACGTTTGTTTACAGACCTTATCTCCGAGAAAGGGTCCTTGAGTGTGGGTTCAGTGCAAGCAGAGCCCTTTCTTTCCAAGGAGCTTTGATGTTGGTTACCTGTCCTGTCGCGTTCTCTTTCACATAAAACACCGATTCCTGGTTGAGTCCAGTTGTGAATGAAACCAAATATTCCACTAGCTGGTGAGCACTCTGCGTGCAGAACACAGAGCTTTGTTGTTTCTCTGGACAGATCTTGCACCCGGTTCTCCCGTGTTTGAGTCACAGCGAAGAATGACTACAGGTAGATAATGCGGTATTAGAGTTGGAGGCCTTGACTTTTCACTGGTTAAGAAACAACAACCATTTGTCAACCACCCAGAACCTTAAGCCTACAATCATGGTGGGGGCGGGAGGATGGCTAAGGAGAAAAAAACAAAACAAAGCATGCAGATTCAAGCATGTGCACCGTCATCTAAAT